TCAAAAAAGCAGTGCTGCTTGTCCACCACTAACTGTTCCCCTGGGTATGAAGACTGGTCTGTCAGACCAGAGTAAATCCAGAACTTGGCTATACAACACCTAAAACATCTGAAGGTAAGCAATGAGATGTTTCGACAGAAGCATGAGAGTTCTAGTGTCTTTTCACTTTTTGAGCCCAGCCTGGCCTGTTTCTGAATGAAAATATTTGCCTGGCAAGATCCTGGAGGTCCATTATTCCCTAAAGGACAGAAGTAAGGACAAGATTACCTAGATTCCAAAATCTAGGTTTGGAAATGTAAATTCTCTGCTACTCTCTATAAAAACAAAATAATATTTGGAAAGCATTTTCCACCTGTCTTATTTTTTGTGTTTCTATAGGCTCATGTGCATCAATATGAGTATATAGTTGTTAAGATCACTTTTTGCAACTGTAAGATCAAGTTAGAAAATTACTAGCATTAAAAGCTTTGTAATAGCTTAATTAAGCAAACTTCACAATCTGCAAGTCATTGGCTATATGTGGCCTCCTGAGTTCAATTGATAGACACTGGTCTTATATGTGTAAAAGATTATGATGAAGATAAATTCTCTACATGTAGAGACCAAAACAACAGCAAAAAAGAATTAGGTAAAAAATCATCCTTTGCAGAGAGATGCAAAGTAATTCCTTCTTACTCCTCACCACTAGGCTGTGAACACATTCTATGATGGTGTTAGCTCAAGCAAATAAAACCCTTATTCTTACAGGGGAAAAAAAAGACCTGTTCCAGAAATAGTAGCACAGGGAGGCTGTTGTTGGGCTTACTACAGTATGTTCTAGTTATTCTTTTATCACTCATCACAAAATGCACAAAATATCAGCATGTGTTTTCTCAAGAAGCCCTACATTTTAAGATCTAAAGAGAGTATCTAAGTTTCTTAAGTCAAGCATATAGGGGATAACAATTCGGGTTTAAGTGCACCCAAATGAAGTTTGTGATTTTGGCCACCCAACATATTAGCACAGTAGTTTGAATGCAGTGAAAGAAATTAATTTTCCAACAAAATATTCTTCTCTATTTCAGGGAGATAGCTTTGCTTACATAGCACTGCCAAACTAACACTTTTTTTTTTTAATCTTTTTTTTTTCACTTCTGTTCTTTCCAATTGTATTTCAAATCAATACTCTTTCTGTGGAATTAATTTACTTTGTGCCCAGGTAGACAAAATTGAAAATCTAATCAATACAAAAGAAAACTTGTTTGACACATCCGGGTGATAATGACCAATGTTTTTTATTTTCTGTCCTTTTTCTCTAGAATTGCTGTGTGAGCAGCTTTAAGAATAGTACTAACATGATACAGAAAGCTATCCCATCCATACCACTGCCTCACCTGCTAGGCACGCGTTGGTGGCACAGCAGCATTCTAAAACAAAAGAAAAGTGACAAAGGAAGGAAAGACCTTAGAGTTTAGCAGGCCTGTGAGCACTGTACTAGGAAGCTGTTATTTGATTACATTCCAATAATAAAGAGAGGCTTACTTAAGAGATAATGGCACCCTATTGTTTACTGGAAGGTGCGCATAATGCTCCTGGAAACATTGGGAAAAAAAATTCAGACAAAGACAATCCAATTTTGCCTCCCTCCCTCAGCCAGTAAACTGTGGATCCATCAATCCTGAAGTTACTCTTCATCCGAGGAGTTCAATTCATTTCAATCCAATCCAACCCTATACAAAATGCACTAGCAAAGTATACAGATTCTGTATCATGGACAATCATCCAATTTGGGCTACTACAAGACAACAAACTGTTCTTAAGTCCTACAGTGTTCGCAAAGAATGCTGTTAGCAGCATTTCTTCCACACAGAGATGGGGATTCAATTAAAAATGTGTGGTTCACTTGCAGTGGCACCATGTCACAAGTGAAAAGGCAATCTCACAGGTAAACAATTGATCTAGTGGGAAGACAGAATCAGAGGGTATATACCAATAAAAGTGACATGTATAAACATCTTCATCACTGGAGAGGAAACAGTATGAGAAAATAAACACTTAAATACTTGACAATCCAACCTTTCTCAAAAGGCATAATAGCTGCAGTTGCAAATGATGGCACAACATTTTAATCAGACTTCTATAAAATCATATGAATTATTTGACATATAGAAGTATATGTATATCATACACATATATGTATATCATTGCTTCACATCGATGTATACCTATAGTAAAAGCACTTCCACAAATAGACAGAGTAGAGGAACACAAAATCACATTAACAGTCTTCAGTCCCCCATGACTTCCCATCCCAAATCTTGGTTTCTGAGCTATTCAGAATGCTGCAGGGCACTTAAAATTAAATGCAGCACAATAGGAAATTCATGACTGGGACACTAGCCCCACTTTCTCTTTGCCATTCTAGAAAACAGCAAGGTCACTCTACCACTCAGAAAGTGTGAGGATAAGTTAAGTACAAAAACATTAACCGGATTCCCTACCTTGGCTGAAAAATAATAGCATTGGAAGTGGCAATATGAATTATTTCTACTAATTTGCTGCACTGTATTTTTGGTGACCTGAGTCACGAAATTTACATGCTTCTTGGCCTTAATGTTTACAAGTGTTTAGTCATTTTATCAGCATTTTAATTTGAACAAAATTTTAAGGACTTCCACTTCTTGTTCACAAACCTTTCAAACCACTAGATCTTTGCCAGAGCAATTTTTATAAGCATAGCAAGCCTCTGGGAAATTACTGTTTTGAAGACCACAGTAACCAATGTCTTGTTATGGAGGATTTCATTTCCCAGAATGTTGATTCTCTAAGACAATCTGTAGCTGGCTCTTCCTACACCTTAGCATTATTTTCTTCAATAAACCATCCCTCTGTTTTTAGCATTTTTATAACCTTTTTTTGGCATTTGCAAAGCCTTCTGAATATTCCTTATTCCAGCCAAAAGTCTAAAACTTGTTACACTGGACAGGAAATTGCTCTAGAGACTTGAAATTTAGTGTTGTTGGAAAGCCTGGAGTATTTAGATTCTGTATACATACCTTGCTGAACAATGCTCCCACAACCCAGCCCAGGTTCACTCCCTCATACTGACTGGAAGACATCTCAAGACCACTACTCTTCCCAGTATGGACTAGAGACACTAGAATACCTGGGAAATCCATGCGGGGAAGTAGCAGCATCCTTGTGATCCGATGATCCATTGGCAAGACAAGTTCACAATTTCTGTGAACTGCACTAAAGTAGGAAGCCTCTTGTCCTCAAGGAAAATTTAGTGCACAAACAGAGTAATGCTTTAAGAATATTGTATTTGAATAAAACACATAGTTGTGTGTTTTATTCAAATTCATGTAGTTTATTCATGTAGTGGGAGGACTATTACTAAAAGGAGCTCAGCTTGCAGCAAAGCAGCCAACTGCAAATTAATGTATAAATAAAGATTATCTGTCATATTCTTATGTTCTATAGAGCCAGATACCCATGGGGAAAAAAAAGGAAAAAAAAAGAAAAACACTCATGTATAAACAAAACCCCATATGCAATTAAATGTTCTGCTGGAATAGCCACTGACTGCACAGTGATAGAGGTCTGGAATTATTATGTAAAATATCAGTCAAAACCAAAATGATGAATGATGGGCAGCATTTCTTTAACAGACATAACCTGTTGACAAATGGAGAATCAGTGCTGCTACTAAACAAAATATATAGAAATAGCCAATTGAAAGGAGCCTGTATAAGTCTACTATAAAAAAAATCTACAAGTTTTGTAGTGATTCCATTCCCTACAGTGCAAAAGAAGAAACTGCATGAAGGGAAGTTGCTCCATAGGAACAACTTTTCTTTGCTTCTTCTACAGGAAAAACTTGCAGGAAGCAGCTCTTTTACATAAGAACACATCAGGGACAGGAGATGAGGGGCAATGCCCTCACACAGGAGGTACTGACTTAATCCTTCAAAGTTACATAGCCTGAGATGCTCAGGAGAAGAAAAAAAAAAAAAAAAAAGAGTTACATCAATACCAGCAGCTTTCTCTCAGCATCTTATAAAGATTCTACAAACGTCAACTATAAAGAAGCATTCATCCTATTTTGGTGAAACCCAGGAACCCACACCTCCTCTGATCCACAGCATGTAAATAACTGTGTGCTCTATATTCTTACTCCTTATTCTGACACAGCTGTTTCATTCTAGCATTTGAGGATTTGGTCAAATACTCACTCAATATTATGGAAACCAAGCCATTTTCAAAATGTGTTTTCTCATGGATGAGAACTTGGAAACCCCAAAATATCATTAGAAAAGACATCCTTATAGTACTTCTTGCCCTAAAAAATTGTATGAAAGTTTTCTAACTCTGCAGATTGATTCTGAAGGCTCTAGCAATTGAGGCAGTTCAGATAACAAAATGGAAAGTACAGGCAAATTGATTTACCTCATTAATTTACATAATCACAGTAAATCTAGCTCACAACAAAGAGGAAATTGCAGAAGGTTTCTAATGAGTGAAACATTACTCATTATGTGGAATAATATAAGGCTTTATAAAACAAACAACAGCAACAAATCTGACTACCTTAATGGTAGGATTGTTAACACAATTGTTATTAAACCTCTCTGGTACTTCCCTTTCTTCAATTTCCTATAGCCTTGCTGATTTTCACTTAAATGCAGATAGAGCCCACCAGGGTAGCATTGTCGTAACTACTGGTTCATTCTTTCTCCTCCTGCTCTTTTCTCTGTTGTCCACTGCACATCTTCCAGATTGTACAATAAATGAGACAGAAGTTTGACAGAGACAGCCATTCTACGATATGACACGATAGAGCACAACCCCTTTTGCAAAAGAATACTAATTAAGCCTCAGAGTAGCCCATCTTCTGCACAGAAAGAAACAATCTTTCTGTAGAAAAATATCCAAGCACATCATCAAGGGCTTAATAAAAACATCTCCTAACTTTTATAAAAGTAATACGTTCTTTTCAACATCACTTCTCATATAATTACTGTACCTTACTGTGAGTACCATTCTGCAGACAAAACGGGCACCACTGTCTTCAAAAAGCAAGATGAAAAACGCTTTCAATATGCAGCTGCAGGAAACAAGTTTAAAAATATATCTTAAGTACACAATGATCAATAATCCCTGTTTTTCTCTACTCCTATCCATTATATCAGCAACTACTCACTAAAATGTGTTTGCCTGGGAGACTTTTTGTATTCCCATTGGTACTTTAGGGATTTTCCAATATTCTTTACTTCGTTTTCTCAGAGATGAAAGCCTTATAAGAAATTACAACTTTACAGCAGATTGCTCCTCTATGCCCTAAATATTCTTTTCCACATTAGCTATGCCCAAAAGAACAAAGGACCCAGTGGTTTAGTGGCTTGACTTGCAGCTCTAGCTTTCGGGAACAGCCAGCTAGCAGCAACTAATGAGCAACTAAGCACTGCCAGTACCAGCACAGAATTGATACAACAGTGTGCAACCACTGATGGAAGCTCCTGCAGGATCCCCACTCCCAGGCACAACAGGAAGCAAGCCAGTGAAAGCCACTAACACAGCACCAGCAACCCAGGTATGGGATCAGGTATATGCCCTGTCCTTGGAAATTCTGGCACGTGGTTTGGGGAAGTTGGCTTCCTCCTCATTAAATTGTCACAACATGATCCCTAAACTGCACCTCTTGGCTCTCATGGAGATTTTACTTGTCCGCATCCAAATCACACCATCGCTAAAAGAACACTTACATTTGCAATGTCCATGCATTTCATTTTAGTATTTTCCACTGCTACTGTCCTCCTAATACTTCAGATCTTTGAAACAGAGTAAGAGGATCAACAAACACCTAAATACCTCATAAAATTAACTAATCATTACATACAGAAAAGTTATGATTAGTGGATATTCCACAGCCATCCCATTGCAAAGAACAATATTTGTTAAACAAGGTTTGAAAATAAACAAGATCATGGAAATCAGGATAATATTTTCCTGCTTGGCATAACTTTTTGGATAACTACATTTTTTTCCTGTGTAAAAATTGCAATATTGTGACAAACTCTTAAGAGCAGATGGGTCTGTGAGATTTGTAACGATGTTGTCCTATAATATTTTTCAGGAAAGGAGAGGGTAAACAGGTTTAATTTACAGGGCTACAAGTTGTCAAGTTTAGGTCTTATTTTAGTCTGCTGGGATCCAACAGCATTGTCTTTATATGTCATCAACAGTATATTTCCAGTCAGGCTGGGAGGTCACTTAGTGAAGTCTGAACTTCTCCATATGGAATTTTCCTAGGTTAGCAATTAGAGACTGTTCACACAGGGAAGGAAGCATCTTAAGAAGAAGCATGGGAGAGGTATTTTTAAGCTGAACAGTCACCACCTTTCTCAGCTAGATGTGTGGAGTGCACAGATTATCTCTGTGCTGTTCGGGAGATGCAGGAGGGGTGGATCTCTCACAACTTAGAGGGAACAGCCATCTGTGGCCATGCTTCTCCCTCCAAGCACAAAGTCCCAGTGGCTTTACACAGGTTCTGGATCAGAACCTCCATCTGGGGAGTTTCTCAACTCTCATTATGTGATTTTATGGCCAGATAAGTTTTCTTAGTGGTAAACAGAGATAGTTAATTCTATTGCAAAATTCTCCTTATTATAACATTAAAAGGTAAGGAATAGGTATAGTGGTCCAGTAACTGAGAAGGAATTACAAAGGCAAAAAAACATCATTTGCATTTTGGGCAATCAGATGCCTTTAACAGGAAACTGTTTACACAAAATGTACCTGATCTATTGGACTGGGGAAGACAAATTTACCAGTGATGTTAACCATATTATTTCTCGGCACGAGCTAAAAATAATAGTTCACATCACTCAGAACAGACTCATTTTCATTTATTTTTGTCTTTAAGCAAAATAGCACAATATCCCCCAGTATGAATACCCATTAAAAAAATATGTTGCTCCATTTTAAAGCTTAACAATTGTGTGGTACAGTTACATCCTTGTTATATTCTGTGAAATGATTTTCACCTGTGTTTTTTTGCTCATTATTAAGTTTCAACGTCTCGCTATTTATTTAGAAAAGTTTGACACATAGCCTCTTCATGAATTGTAAGCTTCATGGTTGTATTCATGAGAATATTTTTGATTATATAGATTAAATAAGAAAGTTACTTACAATACAATATTGAAATGCAAATTCTGCTTCACCTTTTGCAGCTGGTGGAAATTCTCCATAGGTGTAAGAAACCTGGAAAAGAGAGCAAATTATTCCCAGCTGCATCCTGATGCACTTTCATTTAATGACTTAGGTTTTAAAACACATCTACATTTCAAAACGGACAAGCACTCAGCAGTTCTTACTGATTTATTAATGTAAACAGGGATTTTTGACACCAACTTACCAAGTGATACAACAGCTAATAGCTCCAAAGTGGGACCATGTCCCTGTGTTTTCATTACTGCTGGGAAGGCAGGCAGAGGAGACAATAGGCATCTGGGAGGTGGCACAAGGGACACACCAGACAATGGCACAGTTCAATCTCCATCACTTTGGTGAATTGCACACTTTTTCTGCTGTCGGGTCACAACAAGTCCATGGCAAGTCATTTCTGGCCACAGGCATTGGTTTTGAAAACTGAAGGGAGGAACAAGCAGCAGATCTCTCCTCAGCAGAACCCCACGCAGAAAGACTCCAGGTGATGAGAAGACAGCACAGATCAATGGCATTACAACTGCTATTTCACTTTCTCTGCATAGTCAGCTGGGGAACGCCCATGAACTGAGATGCATTCAGAAACTCCTGCCACACCTCTGACTAGCAAGGAATGACTGTGTGTCACAAAGTGCATCCATGACAGGGCTTCACACGGATCCCCCACAGAGTATATGAAACACATGCAGATCACACCAAGGAGGTGGTTCTCAATGGAAAACACATTGGCTAATAGTGGAGCATCCCCCAAGAAAGTGTTTGGTGCAACGCATTCCCACCTTCCACCAGGCATATCAAAGCAGAGCAACTTTGCCTCTGCTCCTCCCTGGACCTGAACCTTACCTGTTATCCTGATCCCATGGGGCCATAGCTCCACTGACAGGGTGCTCCTGCACTGCACTGCAGGAGAAGGACACCTTTGGCATGACCAGTGGAAAGGCAATAACATTAACACTGTGCTCTCTTCACAGCTACTGCTGAATGTGAACATTCTGCAAGAGAAAGGATTTAATCTTCTCCCATAATTCTCTCTACATACTGATATAAATCTTCCTGATTTGTAGAGGCATAAAACCCTCTCACAATTAAGGAAATACTTATTTTCAGAGAATTACAGTTTTAAACACGAGTTGGAATATGGTTGTGGTGGAACTTGTTCTGCTTATCCAGCAGGTATACTGCATTTTAAAAGGAGAAACCACTTGCTTCTGCTGGAGTAGGATATCAGCTGGATGCAACAAACATTTCTCCCTTGTTTCATTGGGTTTGGGTTCAAAACCATTGATGGAAACAAAGCCAGTAGATAAGAAGTACAGCATTTTCTGAAGACTATAGAAACTGGAGAAAGGACTTCAAGAACTACTAAAGAGGCAACAAGCAAAAAAGAAAAAGAAGCATCAAATTAAAAGGAAACTCACAGAAAAAGAATAAGTCACAGAAAGGGCAAATGGAAAAGAGAAGCTGTTCAGAAGTGAAATTCAACTCATTTAATTTCTGGTGTTTATAATACAGATATGCACAGTTGCATTGCCTATCTTCCCTGTACACTCAAAGGAGAGCTGGTGATAATCCCACCAGTGCAGCCTAGCCTGGCCACTGTGGAAGTACACTCTAGGATGAGATGAATCACACACACATTTCACTTGCAGCGCTGTCCACCTCCTAACTGATGAAAAAGCATGACCTGTACATAAAGTCATAAGATGGTTTGGGCTGGAAGGGAACTTCAAGACCATCCAGTTCCAACTCCCTGTCATGTGCAGGGAGGGATACCTCCCACTAGATCAGGTCGCTCAGGTCGCTCAATTTTGACCCAGGTATTATTTAATGCATTTTTAACATTGCTGATACTGTAGCATATGAGAAATAACTGCATGACTACACTCCAGCCTGGAGACAAACATAGTCTTAAATTGTTACTCTACTAAAGGAGCCCTCATTCACCCATGTAGTTCTCCATCACCCATTTACTGCCACATTATGATTCTTCTGTGTCATCATGAGGGCCCTGGAGGGCAATATCTCAGTTAAAAACTTGCCCAGTACACCTTAATCTCCACCCAGACTTTTCAGTTCTAAAAGCTAGGTGAAATTTTATACTTCAAGGTTTGTCTGTGGAAAATCTCATTGTCAAAAAACAAAACAAAACAAAACAAAACAACACTATTTTTTATGGAGAAACCTAACAATGACAAGAAAAAAAAAAGTCATCTCTAGAGAGCCAAAATAAAAGTAATATTTTTTTTAATGAAACTTCCCATTTCAAACTGTTTCCAAATGTATTGTCTATTGAATATGTATATTCAATAGAATATTGAAACTGCATATTTTGTTTGAAAAAAAAAAAAAAAGTCTGAATTATGCATTTAAAGATTCTTTATTCAAAACATTTTTTTATTCCCTGAAGCATTCAGATACTCTGGCTTTCCATTCCAATTTGAAAGGCAGATGAAATTTCAATATGTCCCAAATGGTGAAAACATTGTTTTCCCAGCCCACTGTGTACAGTTAACCAAAACCAGTTCTTTTCTTACCAAGGTCAGGTCTTTTGAACAATAGGAATTATGACATCCTCCTTTTTAGTTCTGAAAAAAAAAACTAAGATGGGCAATTGCTATAAGCATTTGTAATAACTTACAGAGAGTAGGCAACACAGCCAAAGCTCAGATGCCAAATGACTGACTCCCATTTTTCTTGCAGTCACCAAGAGACCGATCAATGACTACTTTTTTTTTTTGCTACTACAAGGTGCTGGGACAAATGTAATCCTTCCTCCTTACTGGCAACCACACCACAGAATTGCACAGTAGATGGTGTCATGATTCATGTACAGAAGGAACAAAAAAAAGCAGGAAAGGAAAGATGTCCTTGTTTCATTGAAGCCAAAACCCAAATACTCACAATGGTTCCAACTCAGTATTTTATTAATGAAAAGACGATTTACATTCATACATATGCCCAGAAGGGACTGTTAGGCTCCTTGAGTTGAGTACCCTGTGGTCACAGAGAAGCATGTCACAGATGTGGATCCAAAGAGTCAGTACATGTCAGCACGTTACAGTTATGTTCCCCATTAGTATTGTTTTATATAATTTTCCTTTCAGGGAAAATAAAATAAATAAATAAGTAAATAAATAAAAATAAAACAACAAAAAACATATGAGATGTTCTATTTTTTTGGACTTTTGCACATTTCAGACAGCTTTGGCAATGGCACACAGGGAGTAAGACCATCTACTTTCTATACGGGGACTATATGCAGCCTATACTCCTGAAGCACAGCATGAGTCTCCATTCAAGGACAAACAGGAATGTAGCTGCAAACACACCAGCCACTGCTGTTCCTTGCTTTTCCTCATCTGCCCTGGGCTGAAAGCACAGGGCTGAAGTGCTACACTAATGCTGAGGCAAGACACAAAACACAGATTGTTCCTACAAGATGGGCTGATCTTCAAATGTTACAAACTCCACTGTGAGATGGAAAATGGACTTCAATAGCTTTAAAATTGAATAACAATAGTAATAATAATAATAAAGATCTCTTTGTGAGAAGATGTTCTATGGATGTGTTTTAAAACTTCACTGTGAAAAAACATCACCCTTCATACTCTTGAAGTGCACATGCAGCAACAGCGAAGCAAAACTAATTATCAAATTCAAAATATAGTAAAGGTAATAGACCACATGACAACAGTTTCAGAAAATAGCAAAATATGCAGGGATGGGATAGTTCACTGCATTTTTCAAACTAAATAATTTTGCAGCAATTTGCTATTAACCTTCTTTAATTTCCATTTACACAGTTAACTCTCACTTATCAGAACTACTGAACATAGCACCATCTTCCTTTACTACTGAAAGCACTGGCAATGAATGCTAATCTCATTCACCTATGTCCCTTCATTTGACAGTGTTCAAATAAGAAGTTGAGCCAGCTGCTAAGCAATGGGAATGAATGATGTTTTCAGCAATGCTATGTGGCAGTAAGGAAGGGGAGCCAAACAGTTTACTGGTAAAAATCTGTTCATCCAGAGCTGGCTTCCAAAGAGTGGGGTACTTTAAATGTTAACAAGAATCCAATGAATTTGAGAATTTAACTGTAATGTGTTTATATGACTTAGAAGTAACTTAACTTACTGACAAGGTTACAGCTTCAACTGCAGACAGTGCAGGGCTTACTTACCATATTTGCATGATTTTACATACCAGTTACCCAAAGAAATTCCACAACAGCAGCAGGTGTGCAGGCTCCATTAAAACAACAAGTCAAAATAAAGGGAATAAATCATTCAGTGATAGACAGGCAGATAAAGCAGATTTTTAAAAAGCATTCAGTCTCAACATATTTCTGATACTGCTGAAACAAAAGGTGAAATTATCAATGGCAGGCATGAGAGTAACAATAAATTTTCTCTTGAGTCTTTAGAAAAATCACCCTATTTATCCCAGCACTTCAGGGGTTAAAAAGCCCCCAAGCCTCCTTTTCTAAATTTCAAATAGAAATATATATATATTTTTTCCTAGACAATTTGTAGGTCCCTACTTTACTTTATAAAATTAGTTTATTCACAAGAAAATATTTTTCAGCATGCTAATTTATTTTTTTTTCACATAAGCATTTTCAGAACTGAATTCCTTAGCCTAAAACAGGAAGAATTATGTAGCCAGTCAATTTTATATTAATTATTTGACTTTAATATGCAGAGACATTATTGACTAAGTATCAACATCCATATAGAATGGTTCTTATTAGACTATGGAATCAAGGTCACAGCATCAATCTACAATTGATAATCAGTTTTTCAGAGTTCACAAGAAAAAAAAAAAAAGTGGCAAGACATTAAGAATAGCATGCAAACATGAACTTTCTTCATGGAAACAATTTTCAAAAGCCAACATTTTCTTCCTTCTATTCAAAATGGTTCATAAATCTGTCCTTGATGTGTCAAGAATTCAAAGATCAATCATGTTTCATGCTTTGGTAAATTTTCACATTTCTGCAGGGAAGAAACTCTTCAGTAAAGATGTGTTCTCATCTTTGTATAGATGGCAAACAACTATTTTGTGTAGTGTGTGGTTTCAGTCTACAACAATTTATCTTTATCACCCAGAAATGCTTGACAATGCAGGACACCATTAATCCTGATTTCAAACTGGCAGATAATTTCACACATACAGTGAACTTTGGCAAAGTATATCTCATTACTATTAATTTTCTGGTTGATGTTACCACTTCTTTAAATTACCTTAATTTTTTAAGAGCTAAGGTTAATGGTCTGTTCTGCTTTTGAGTTTAAAAAATATTTTTAAACTGGAAAATGGAAATTTACTTAAATATAATAACCAGTTAATAATAAATACTTGACTCCCTATAAATGGCTGGGCTTCTTATTCTTTGTCTACTTTAAAATTTGTACATATATATGTCCACACATATCTTCTATTTTTGCCACTAATGAACTTCTTCACACACTTCTTAACTACCATATATTCTTTGTCTATAATACACGAATATTTGTTCATGCTGTACTAAACAACTCTGAATTTGGGAGATGCTAAAACCAGGAACTGAGCTTTTCAGCAGGAATCTCTATTTAGTGTTGTACCTGAATACTCTATAAATTATAAAGACAAACTTCCACCTCAGAAGAAAAGCATTTGTTGTATGTTTAAGTGACCTACTGCATGTAAGAATAGGAAAATTAACCATTCTGTAGCAACCAAGGCATTTCCTGAGTCACTTACAACAGTAACAACCACACAAAAGAGGTTCCAGCAGGATGTCCTGTTCATCTTCTAGTGAAAGGCAGCTACAAGTTTCTGTCTGTCTGCCCTGTTCTGAAATTCAGGGACAGACACATCACATTGTTCTGCTACAAAATGTTCCAAAGCTTCATCATCGATACCACTAGGAAGCTAAACACTAGTAAGAGCACCTCGTCCTTCCTATTTGTTTATTTATTTGTGCATGTTATTCACATTTATTTTTATATACTGGCTCTTTTAGCCAACCTTCTGTCCTTACTCAAAGCTCTCCTCATCAGATCAGAATTGGGATAACAAAGCTACTCTGTCTTTTGTGGAGGAAGCAGGCTTAAAAATGACAAATAATGTGATGGGAGAGCTGATGTCTAGTTCATTAATCCCAATTGTCTCCTATGCACAAATTAACTTACTCCTCTCCTGTCTTACCTGGTCTGTACTTGAGCCAGCTTGCAACCACTCAAACTATAATCCTAAGTGATGCCTAGTCAATCAATCAGCAGCTTTTGTGAAATGAAATAGCATCACAGATTCTGGACATCATCCATAAAATAAAGTTACTGCAACAAAAAAAAAAAAAAACCCACCTCATTATCTCCTGAAAAATCCTCCACAAGCCTTCAGAAGAAAATGAGCAGGAGCTTGGGTAGGACAGGTATCCATGCTGCCTGTGTGATCTCCTCCCCTGCAAGCAAAGCCTATGATCACAACAACCAACACACAATACACTGCCCTCCTCCACTTATTTGTCATACCCCTCAAGCACAATGACACCTGTTCCTGTTCTGATCTACAATGGGGTCAATTTAACCTTATGGTTAACATTCTCAAAGTCATACAGAGTACTGAAAATTATCACCACCAGTACACAGTCAGTAGTGTTGCCAAAATGAGAGAAATGTGAGGCAATCACAGTATCATACCATGAACTGAAATGCAGCCAAGAAATCAAGGATTTTTGAAAAACTCAAGGACTTTTGCTAACTACTTTGTCAATGTCAGTATATAACCTTTTCCAAAAACCAAGGATCTGCAACCAGAGTCATTATCAAGCAATGTGCCTCATCAAGCACCTGCTGAACACAACAGATTCTTTAAAACAAGTCAGTCCACTGCTATGTCAAACAGAGGTGGTCTAGAAATACATCCATCATATTCTGCTCCTGAAGCATTAGTCCACTATACCGTGTAAACAATACCTTGTAAAACTCTCAGAAATGAAGCTGGCCTAAATTCAACAGAGAAAACATTTTCCCTGCTTTGCTTCCCATGTTAACTGCTCCGTGATAAATCTTGAAAAATCCTTACCATGTTACCTCCGATTTTTTTTTTGATTTTTTTTTTTTAAGCTACAAACTGACCAGCAAATGAGGGTGTTTGGCGCAACCATAAAAATATATAACAAATCAAGCCTAAAAGGATCTGGAAAACAGGTATACAAATGAAACAGGCTTTAAGCATAAACAAATAATTCTCCCAAAAGCCTGACAAATTTGAAAGCTACAAGTTTGGATAGGAATGGTAACATTTCAGAAATTAGCTGAAAAGTATGTTCACAATGAACAGAATTTTTTCCAGTTCATAATTGAAATAATGTTATGGCATTTTCACCTAAGCCTAATGACATAGAGTCCAAATAACCAGCTGTATTTCACTTTTTGAACAGAATGTTCCCAGGAACAAAAAAGCCAAGCTGTTTCTTTGTCTGAACCCAGCTGCTGATAAGAACATCTAATTCTCAATTTCACTGTCTTCTTAGAGGGTATATTTCAGTGACAAAAGAAGCTTCTTCATTTGCTTTCTCTACTTCATTGCTTCAACAGAGATTTACAAGTGCAATAAAGCACAGGGTCTTGTTCACAGGAACACCTCTCTGTTAAATCATCGTGGCATTTTCCACAATAATACTGGAAAATATTGGTTTTCTATATGTGGAAATCAGCAAATAGCAGCTGTGGTTCTTTTTCCTCATAAACCCTTTATGCATATAATTACATTATTTATCAGGATTGATTTTGCTTCTCCACCAATTTATATATTACATGTTAGCGGAAAGAACAAATTAGAAATGCAAAGAATCCATATGTTAGTGTTACAGTTTGCTTTATCTACAGTGTTACAGATTCCCTTCTGGTTCCTAATTGATTTCATAATTTGCTTGGATGCACAAGAAACTGACTTCATAATGAGCTCCTGGGAGTCAATATTTCTATACAGTATATCTGAAATGCCAAGAACCAAGGTAAAGATATTTCAGAAAACTCCTGCAATGTAGTGTGCAATACAGCACAGTTTAAAATTAATAGGCACAGTTACTATAAAAATTCAGTTCATTTTCACCTATGATTGAATACTGCACAGCAGTCTAAAGGTAAAACTACCTGGTGTCTGTAACTTGCTTCTGTAGGATCACATCTCACTGTCTTCTGTTGTGGCTCAGTTGGTAATTCTCAACTGCAACTCAAGTATAATTCTAGCTTCCTAGTGCCAACAAACTGTTCTTTTAGTAGCTTTCCCAACAAGGCATTCCTCTCAGAAAGGGAAAAAGAACTGGAGAATGGTTTGCACTGGAAGCTGGACATCTCTCAGCATTACTATAACAAGTAGTCTGCTGTCCCTCTCAAACATAAGTCCCAAGCACTGTAAAAGAAGCCTTGAGGGATGTAAGGAGAGCAGCCTAAAAGAAAGCATGGCCTGAGATGCTAAGTAAAGGCAATACAACATCATTTCAGATTATTATCACATTAAAGTCACAACAGTCCATTATTCTTTCTACTAAAGTACTTCCACAACAACCTCACCTCTGAGGTCACTACAAAAACTTAGCATTTTCTGCATGGAAAACTTTTCTCCCACTTGTTCCAAATTTGTTTCTCATTGATTTTCATTTGCACTTACTTGTTGTGTTTAAATTGGGCTGTTATTATAGATGAAAATGGCATAGATTCAGCAAATAGCAGGGCACAAGGAACCTGCCTTCTTCATATTAGTTTCAAAGGTCTCCTAGACTACATTCTTCCATGAATACTCAACACACTGTTTTGATCTTGTATTAACAGACACAAACCTCCATTTCCTCAATATCAAAACCCAGACCTTCATCATATCTGAATTTCAGCAAAGTTCTTTGGTAATCAATCAAATTGGGAACCCAGATCTACTTTTCAGATTGGAACTGTAAATCACAAAGTACTTGAACTAACTGCCCAGTCTGCCCTTAAAAAATATGATACTCCCACAGGAATACTGAAGTGGACTAAGAGTTTTTTTCACATACATATTCTTTACCAAATAGTTACATTCAAAAATAAATTAACCAAAAGCAAACATGAATTTCCTTAGGGCACAGTACAATTTTACTCATTTACAGGATTTAATTTCCAGCATATACAGTAAGACTACATTGCTCTTCTTTACTACAGCTATCTGTGTCTCTTGTATGGATCCAGGAAAGAATATATCAATAACAGGAAAAAAGGTATGAATAACCTTCAATAAGGTGACAGGATTACTCGCCCAACTAAATTGATGAAGCTACATCTGGAATACTGCGTTCAGTTCTGGGTTCCACAGTTCAAAAAAGGTAGGGATTTTCTAGAGAGTGTCCAAAGGAGGGCCACAAAGATGATCAAGGGCCTGGACCATCTCCAGTACAAGGAAAGGCTGAGAGACCTGGGCCTGTTCAGCCTGGAAAAGAGAAGACTGAGAGGTAATCTGATCAGTGTTTACAAATATCTAAAGTGTGGGAGACAAATGGATGGGGCCAGTCCATTTTCATTTGCGTGCAGTGAGAGGACAAGTGCCAATATCCAAAAACTGAAACACAGGAAGTTCCACACAAATGTGCATAAGAACTTCTTTACAGTGAGGGTCACAGAGCACTGGAACAGGCTGCCCAGAGAGGCTGTGGAATCGCCTTCTCTGGAGATATTCAAGACCTGCCTGGACACTTTTCTGCTCAGCCTACTGTAGGGAACCTGCTTTTAGCAGGGCAGTTAGACTTAATCATCTCCAGAGGTCCCTTCCAAACCCTATGATTCTGTGATTCTGTAAGTGTTTATGGGTAAGAATCAGAGGGGAGTCCAATAACGTAGATGTCATTGTGGAAGTCTGCTATAGACCACCCAGCCAGGATGAAGTGGCAAACACAGTATTCTATAAGCTGCTGGGAGAAGTCTCACAATTGCTAGCTCTTGTTCTCATGTGGGATTTCAACTTACCAACTGTCTGCTGGAAATACAACACAGTCTAGGAGGTTCCTGGAGTGTGTGGAAGATAAATTCCTGACACAGATGGTGAGTGAGCCAGCTGGGGATGGTGCCCCACTGAACCTTTTGCTTGCGAACAAGAGAAGGACTTGTGGCTGATGTGAAGGTTACAGGCCATCTTGGGCATAGCAATCATGAATTAATAAGAGTTCTTGGAAAAGAAACTCTTGGAAAAGAAGGGTGGTTAGCCAAACTGCCACACTGAACTTCTGGAGGGCAGACTGTGGCCTGGTAAGGAGACTGGTTGGAGGAGTCCCTTAGGAGGCAGTCCTGAAGGGCAAAGGAGTCCAGGAAGTCTAAACGCTCTTCGAGAATGAAATCCTAAAGGCGCAGGAGCAGGCTGTCCCCATATGCCAAAAGATGAGCCAGTGGGGAAGCAGACCAACCTGGCTGGACAGAAAGCTTTGGCTAGAGCTCAAGAAGAATAAGAGAGTTTATGACCTTTGGAAGAAGGAGCAGGCCATTCAGGAGAACTACACAGACATCGTGAGGCTGTACAGGGACAAAATTAGAAAGGCCAAAGCCCATCTGGAGTTCAACCTGGCTACTGCTGTTAAGGACAATAAAAAATATTTTTATTAATACATAATCAAGAAAATGAGATCTAAGGAGAATCTTAATCCTTTAATGGATGTGGGAGGAAACATAGTGACAAGAGATGAGGAAAAGGCTGAGGTACTTAATGCCTTCTTTGGCTCAGTCTTTAGCAGCAAGACCAGTTGTTCTCTGGGTACTCAGCCCCCAGTGTGGTAGATAGGGACAGGGAGCAGAATGAAGCAGAATAATCCAAGAGGAAATGATTAGTGACCTGCTACTCCACTTTGATGTACACAAGTCTATGGGGCCAGATGGGATACATCCAAGAGTAATGAATGAGCTGGTGCTTTCACCAAGCTGCTTTCCATCATTTATCAGCAGTCCTGGCTATCAGGGGACTGGTGGCTAGCAAATGTGACACCCATCTACAAGAAAGGCTGGAAGGAGGATCCAGGGCCTGTCATGGTGACCTTGGTGCCAGGGAATCTGATGAAGCAGATTATCTGGACTGCCATCACATAGCACTTACAGGACAACCAGGCGATCGGGCCCAAACAGCAAGGGTTTATCAAAAGCAGGTCTCTTGCTTGACAAACCTGATGTCTTCTATGGCAAGGTGACACACTTAGTGGATGAGAGAAAGGCTGTGGATGTTGTCTACCTACACTTTAGTAAAGTTTTTGACAGTTTCCCACAACATTCTTCTGGAGAAATTGTCTGCTTATGGCTTTGAGACAGGTGTATGCTTTGCTGGGTAAAAAATCTGGCTCAGCTGCCAGGTCCAAAGAGTTGTGGTGAATGGAGTCAAATCCACTTGGAGGCCTGTCACAAGTGGTGCCCCCAGGACTCAGTACTGGAGCCAGTTCTCTTCAATATCTTTGTCAACGATCCGGACAAAGGGATAGAGTACACCCTCAGTAAGCCTGAGGATGACAACACCAAGCTGGGCAGAAGTGTTGATCTGCCTGAGGGTAAGAAGATTCTACAGAGGAATCTGGATGGGCTGGACCAATGCTCCAAAGCCACCTGTATGAGGTGTCTCCAGCACAAGGCCAAGTGCTGGATCCCACACCTGGGACACAACAACCCCCTGCAACACTACAGGCTGAGGGAAGACTTGCTGGAAAGCTGCCCAGCAGAAAGGGACCTGGAGGTATTGTTGGACAGCCAGCTGAATATGAGCCAGCAGTATGCTCAGGTGGCCAAGAAGGCCACCAACATCCTGGCTTGTACCAGGAATAGCGTGGCCAGCAGGACCAGGGAAGTGATTGTCCTTCTAAATTTGACTCTGGTGAGGCTGCAGCTCAAGTACACTTTTCAGTTTTGGGCCTCTCAGTACAGAAAGGACTTTGAGGTGATGGAGTATGTCCAGAAAAGGTCAAGAGGAAGGCTATGAAGCTAGTGAAGAGTCTAGAGAATAAGTCTTATGAGGAGTAGCTGAGGAAACCAGGGTTGTTTAGCAGAGAAAAGGAGGCTCAGGGTAGACCTTATCACCCTCTACAACCACCTCAAAGGTGGCTGGAGTTGGGGGGAGGAGGGTAAATGAGCCTCTTCTCCCAGACAACAAGCAACAGAACAAGAG